TTACTTGTATCCTTTGACTAAAGGATGTAAGTGTGTGTGGCCAGGGAGGAAAAAGGACTAGTAACATTGGTTGATACAGAAAACAAAGTGATGTGCTGTAAAATTAGTGCTACAATGATGACAATTTAGCAGGTTTGTTTACAAGTTGCTATTCTGATTGAGCAGGGATGGGTGTTACAGGTCTATTTTTAAAAAAGGAAGAAGAAGATTTTAAGAGAAATTGTATATTTGATCTCAGTATGTAGGAGAAAGGAAAGGATATGATGGGCTGAGTGTATGAGGGGGACCCTAGTAAGACTGAAACTATTCAGCAAGGACAGACAAATCATCAGAAAATTGTAATCTAACCAGTCTATCAGTCTCCACTTTTTTTTTTTTTTTTTTTTTTTTAAAGCCCTGAAAAGTTCCCTCAAAGCAGAGTTTAACAGGAGGGTGGCTATACTGCGCTATCTGACCAGAGCAGGTTCTACATCAGAATAACCCTGTTGACATCAAGGGACCACTTTACAGAGATTCAAATCTGAGCTCACAAGTTTAAAGAAAAGCCATACAAATGAGAGTTTCTCTACCTGTAAATGCAATCCAGTGCAAGCTTGTACTGAAGTGGGCAGTGCTTCTCTTTCCTACTGTACCAATGTAGGGCAGGAAAAAGCTTTATAGAAATGGCCTGCTTGAAGTGTGACACAGAGCTATACAAGTAGTCATAGAGCTCAGTGGACATAAGTTCAGTCTGACTTTGCTCTGTTTAGGAGCATTGGCTTGTAAAAATAATTCTCCACGTGACCATAGGGCCCTGCTTCTTTGTCTAGCAGAAGACACTAATTAAAGCAGAGGGTTACCCATATCCCTAAATATGTTTTATTATTTTTAAATCTGTAGATACGCAGATATAAACCTTGTAAAGAACGGTGCAACCAGTTGTCAGGTTTAGGTTCTGGAGGTTGAAATGAATACCGACTGATTGCTCCTTCTCCTAAAACTTCAGCTATTAACCTTGCTTCAGATGAAAAAAAGAATAAAAAGCAAAGAAAGTCAAACATTAATTGGGAAATGTGTTTGTCTGTGGTAGTAAAAAATCCCATGTGGTCTGAACAGTGTTTTATAAAGCCTAAGGAATATCTCTCAAGACGTCATCTTCAAATACTACTACTTTGACTCTCCTGAAGATCCCCTGAAATTTCCTGTTATTTCCTCCTGTGCACAGAAAACAGAGTCCTTAATAGTTGATGCTCTCCAGACCCTTTCTAAGAACCTTCTGCTTTACCAGTAACCTTTTCTGCACTGTCAAGAAATCTACAGTTTCAGGCAGCAGACAACTCTGAAATCTCCCATGTCCTAATCTAAACGTAGAGCTTTATTAATCACAGAGCATACTGGTCTGGGTCTGCTGGTCGAAACAAAACCAGGCATTCTGAAATACTGATTTCTTGATGTAGGCCCAGCTAACATTTCAAGAAAGAGCTGTAAAAATAGTTGGAAAATGTTTTTCATACATCTGCAGCAGCAATCACCTGCTTTACCCTATGAAAAGGGCCCCATTTGAAGGCTACATTGTAAGAATGTTTTCATGGCTAATTAAGACAATTAGGCTTACATGAATGGTCTGGAAGCAGATGCTGGTAGATGTGTTGAAGAGTTATGTTTTGCAGTCTCTCACTGCACTGCACTTTGAGGTGGGTGACTGATACTCAAATAGCACTGGAATCTGCTCGGGGCACTTTGCTACCATCGCCTTCCCACCTTTCCCTTCCCAGACAATTGCCTTTCAAAATGTAGCTGGAAAGATCAAAAGTGTTATTACTGTAAAAATCACTGTGAAATTAAAAGGGATAGGAATCAACCTTTTGTGTAGCAGGTTCTTTTCATGTCTCTGCATAGACTTGCTAATTACGGTTCTCTTTTCTCAGTCGGAGATGTTAACCTGTGATGCTTTTATCTCAAGATCCCTGCCCAGGTTTCTAAAGTGATTTGTGGTCATATTTGAGATCTTCCTTCATTTTGTCACTTGTTGCTGGGAGGAAGAGTGGCACTGATGGGAAATGTCTTGCTATTTATAGACTGTCTCAGTGTTATGTCTCCTGCGGTTATATAGAGGAGGCAGCATACTGTCTATTTACTTTACTTTTAGACCACCCATCTCTCAGCCTCAGTTTCTCACTGTGGACTTGCTGCTGAGAATTTTTGTCTGAGTTCTTTTAAATGGCTTTTTTTACAAGTGCATGATATTGATCAATGGGATCTTGTCCACCCTCTTCTTTTGATGCATCCCTCGGGGTCCTGGTCACTGAACATTTAGTCTGACATGTCTGGGTGGGAATGGGGATCCTTTTAAAGGATCCAGAACATGGAGTGAGGCTGGGGGCTTGATGCATGCCTGTATCTTATGCATCATAGGGGTAGGATGCAGCTAGAACAAGTGCTTGCTACAGGGAATTGGGACTTGCTCCTGGGTACAGGAGGTTGCTATGCTTTCTCTGTCTTCCATTATCCACCTAAGCTTCTCTGCTACATTTATCACAGTTATATTAGCTCATATTTTTGGCTTTAGTCAGATTTTTACTGCATTATAGGAAAGGATCTGAAACTGCGAAGTAAAAATGAACACTTAGCTCCTTCTTAAATGCTCAGACTGAACTCTCTTAATCTGCTAATAGAGGGCATTCAACTCCAGAAATAAAGTTGTGAAATACTTGGCTAAAATTCTCTCAACTTCTTCAAATTTTACTTGATTCAACCCTGATAACATCCTAGAGTTCATAGTAACAACAATAGAGGTGAAACCCTGACCCTCTTGAAGCCAACAGGGGAACCTTTCTCCAAGATTTCATGCTGGATACCTCACTGTGGCCACTGTATCCCAAAAATGTGTCATCCTCTGGAATCTTCAGTGGAGCAGGAAATACCATGGGGATTTCTCAGACTGGAGGGACAGGCAGGGCAGTCTTCCCTTGACATAGCTAAAAACTTTGGGAAGTTGCCTAGCATTGACTCTGTGCTTGCTGACATTACAAAGTTGTCATGAGAAGGTTTGTTGGGAAAGGGTCTTGTCAAACCTAGGCACTAGCATGTCTGTTCCCTCCTGGGAGAGAACAATTGGTGGGACACAGCTAAAGAGCGAAGATATATTCTGCTTATCTAGTTGTGGTTTACAGTGAAATGAAGTGGAGACAAAGCTTCCCCTCTCCTGAAAGGGTGATCGGCACCTTTGGTGCTGTTGTGAGCTTGCCGCTGAGGTCAGTAAGACCAGTGCCTTCTCTGAAGGGGATGTGGACTAGTGTATTTGGATTTATGCTCCCCGCCTGTAGATTTCTGGGCTGAGCCCAAAACGTCTTATACTTTTCTGCTTTATGCAAGCTACCAGACTATGAGCTGGGTCAGCAGACAGTACATCCTGATCTGACACTACAGGTGTGGTAGCCTCTGGAAAAAGGCAGGGCAGAACATTGTGACAGCAGCTGTGAGTGTTGCCACAACTGAATCTGCCAGAGCTGTAAGGGAGCGAGGAATCGGGCTTCAAACAAGGAATCTGATTTAATTCTTGCATTGTTTCCATGTCTGTGTAATCTTCTCATCTCCCATAGCTGTGCCTGGGAGAACAGAAAACCACTCTCAGTGTTGGGACCTGACCTGACACCTGGCTTGTGCTTCTCAAGCTGTGAATTCCTCCTGAATGAATGTACCTCTTACCTTTCTGTGTGTGGGAAACCAAAATAAATTACATATAAGCTGTAAACAAATGCATTTTGTTAGCTAGGCCAGTGGTGTGCATAGTAAGAAGCAATGCCTGACTGACATGGGGCCCAGCAGACAAATTTAATCATCATTTGAATTGACTCAAACTGCAGCCTGTGCCTCTGTGTCAAGGCATCTCTTGCTAACTGAGACCTGTTGAGAGAACAGAATTAACTGGTACAATGAATTCTTACTAAAATAAAGGTAATACCAAAGCTTGTATTCAATATCTAATTAAATATTTTCCTAATGCAGTATACCCATTTATAGTATGTGAAGCCTGACTTTAGTCTCCAAGGAGCAGGCCGGTAAAGAATAGCATTACAAATATTTATTTACTTCTCTTGTACCTCACTGGCTTTATTTTAATGGGTGTGCAAAACCGCATGAAAGTTACAGGGGAGAAAAGGCCCCCCCCAGGAAACCCTTTGTATCAGGATGAATTAGAAAAACAAACTCTAGGGTGCTCATTTGCCATGAATCGCTTTTCACATCACGTGCGGAAAATGAATGAGGCGTCTGTGAATCTAATTCCCTTTGTCCCAGTTGTAAAGCAGATCAGCACAATAGGAGAGGCACAAGGCCAGCAAAGCAAGAGGTGGAAAGCAGGCACCATTCAGTGAATTCATTTTCAGTCATTCCAGTGCTGCTTGCTCCTTTTCTTCTTCTCTACAGATTTAAAGAACAAACAAAACCCTACGGTCCCTGGGAAATGCCTCTGTTAAGTGCTGCTGCTGAAGTCTAGCTAAGCACAGCGGCAATAGTGGAGAACACCAATCCTTCCCACTGTCATCATGCTGGGTCCCTTGTCACTCCAAGTGGGAGGACAGAAAGCATATCACCACAGCCTCACCACACATTAGGAAAACAGCAGATCAGTGCATTGAAGAGTCTGTGTCGTCCCAGGGGTAGAAAAGATAAAGATCTAGGGTTTTCTTTTCTTTTTTTTTTTTTTTTTAACCTAACTGCAAGATGAAAATCCTAGTCATCTCTTTCATGCTGATCTGGATTTTTCACAGCTGTTTATTATTCTGAATTAGGTTACATTATTTCCTCTTTATTATCTTCTATCAAAATACAGTTAGATTTGTGTGTGTGTCAACCAAACCAGCTATATTTGAAAGACTAAAAATAGTCTAGCTGAGAAACCCAGTGCTGGCTTGGGAATGAACCCTTCCATTCATTGCCTGGCTTATAAGCCTCTCTCGCTGCATAAGAACAACTTTGCTGCCCAGCTAAAAGGAAAACGGAAATTTAAAAAATCTCACCGCAGCTTTTGTAATGTATTTCCAAGTTGTCGTCTTTGCAGACTGTGTGCGTAGGCCATTCTGTGCTGGCATTGATGTAAAGCAGGACGAAGATGAGAACAAGAACATTTGATGTCTTCATGGTGGTGGTGGTAGTTTGCAGGATTACTTCTCTGTCTCTTGCTAACCCTCTGTGGAGGGAGGTGTTCCTTCCTTTCTCCAAGGGAGACAGGAGTTTACTACATTTGCGCCTGTAGAAGGGTTACGTGAGCCAATGCAGCCTTAGCTTACCACAGCATGGTATAAACAAGAGGCTAATCAGAATTGGAGGGTGTTATTTCTGTGTGCTTAGACTTCTGCTTTCTGCTTCATGTTAGTTTAAACTAATGACAAATGAGCTAATCACACCTACTCACTGCACGGCATAGTCCTGCCTCAGTGCCTGCTGGAGCAATGCAGCAAACTGTTTAGTCTTTCTCTCACTGCCAGTTTCTTCTCTTGAAGCCAAAGCATCTGGGTCAAGACTTTAGACAGGCTTATTTAGCCCTTCTGGCCGCAAAACATTGTCATCCAAATCACCCCATCTTAATCGCACAAAGTCAGACCAAATTTTGCAAGGCGGACAGTTTTGTTTCTATGTTCTTAGTAACAAATCTGTCTGCTAGAGGGGAGGGAGGTGTGTCTGATGGAGCTGACACCAAATAAGCAAGCCTTGAAACTTTTAGGAATGAATCCTTTCTGCTTGACTATGCTAAATACTGCATTTTTGTTCATTTTGTTCAATGGTTCTTAGGAATGCACTATTTAACAGTATACCCACCCAGGTAACCCTAGACTTAATTCTTTTCCTTCTGTCTTCCTGGTTATTTAACTCCCCCCTAGTGACACTGTGCACTTGTTATTTGTACTAGCTTTTTTTTAAAGCTGTGCTTTATGCGAAAATTAGTGGCTGTTGCAGATGGCAGGGAATGATCAGTAAGGAAAGGAGGGAGGGTTGCTGCAGCTCCAGTAAACTTCTCCAATTCAATTTAAGATCCAGGATTGGAATAGAATTTCAAACTGCAGTTGCCAAAAAGGTCTTTCCTGGACAGAGCACCAACTGGAAAAAAGCTACAAGCTAAATTCAACCCTAAAGCAAATATCTGCAATAGACTTCTCTGAGCTGGAGACGAGGAGAAATTGGCTCTGTAGCATGACAGTTGGATAAAAGATCACTTTGGCCATCTCAGTCTTTCTTGCTCTGAAGGCTGCGAGTATCATTTGCTCTGCCACTGAGGAAAGTTGAAGAGGGGAAAGCCTATGTACTTAGCAAATAGGAGAGCACCTAACAAGATAATTATGAAATAATGCTAACCAGTAGAGATGTTCTTCAGGCAAAATCCCTGCCTGAACGAAGGTAATAAAAGTAATCCCATAGATTAAAAAGGGGGCCATGATTTCAGCCATGATGTATTAAATTTAAAAGCCAATTCAATGCAATCCAAGATGCCTTGCTTTGAATAATGAGGCTCAGGCCTGCTTCGTGTTTTTTGATACTATCATAATGGTAAATTATATGTCCAGGGCCAGGGTGAGAATCCAGGCAACTATCCTTAGGTATGAAATGTGTATGAGGCACGTAAAGAGATTTGGGTTATAGATCTGTCTGGTTTGACTGGACTTTGTACCCAGCTGATAGTTGATGAAAGCAAGTGCAGTGGCAAAGGGAACAGTGAGGAGAGACGATGTCTAGGATTGCTGTAATACATTTAAACTAGAATCACGTACAGTAAAAGTCCCTTCCCACTAAGGTCTACAAAGACAGTCAAAACTGGATATAGCAATTTGTTACAAAATGCAAAGTGTTTCAGATCACGACTGTGAGAACATAACCTCCAGATTTTTTTTTTTTTTTAGGAATGACATCATCATGGTCCTTCATTTAAAATGTCAGCTTAATGCTCAATAACCATGAACAAAGTAAATCAAATGGTAGGGCAAATGCTTCAAAGAGAGACCCACTGGGGATCACTAAATAAACCAAATGAGGCTCAGGACCTCTCCTGAGATGAAAGTCATTAGAAGCTGGGAAAATACATAGGAGAAATACCATACATGCTTGCCCTGCTCTTACTCTTCTCTGCATGCGTGCTTGTCTACGCTGCTGGGAACAGGTTACTGGGTGAAATGGAGCCTTGGTCTGGACTAGAATGGTTTACTTGGACACTGGGCTTGTTCTTTACCTCCCCTCTGCCCACCCCATCCTCTTGGACAGTGTTGCCACTGCTCGTGGCTTTTGAAATGCTGACTCAAAGCAGTCTTTTGTCTTTGCAGAAGCCCTGTTGTAGCTAGCCTGCAGGTATCCAGGAGTCTGGGCCTTGCCTTGCAGAGATTTCAGTCTAAGCACAAGCAGACAGCCTGGGAAAGTGGAACAACACTGGACTTCTGGGATACAAGTCTTCCTGCTTCACCGAGCACAGGATGGCTGGGGTAGGTCTCCTAGCAAAAACCAAATATGACTTTGTAGATGAGCTCAGGAGCTCTGCTATACACAGACAAGTGCCTGCACTGTTTCCCCGTCTGGTGCATAGACTTTCTCTTGCTCTTGCTCTTTTGAGACAGCTACTTCATCCTTTTTTTTTGGCAGTGCTCCTGACACTGACTCAAAATGACAAGTCACAAGGTTTTGGGTTGGTTTTTTTTTTTTTTTTTTGTGTGTGGGTGTGAGGTTGGAACGTGTGTCTCAAGTAGTTTTTGGGTAGCCAATGTTCTGAGGGGAAACAGCCATGATAGCTAATGTTTTGGAAAGCTGTGCTGTCACTTCCACTTTGCCCCACCATGTTGTTCTCAGTGGGAAGGGAATTTTACTTGGAGTGTTTCAAGTTTACAATGTGTACTCCAGACACTGTTTCACCGTTTCATTCCCTGTGTAATCCTTGTATCTCCTAGAAAGAGCTTTATTACCAACTCCATCTGTTCTGAGAACTGCTTTCCCTTCAAACAGCCGAAGCCTGTGGGATGAGAAACTACATCTAAACGAAGTGGTATCAGTGCTGGCAGTGGGAATTCTGTTGCTTAGCTGGCCAACAAGCCTGTTTCTTTATCTGTCTGGTTGAAGGCTTTGACCGTGGATATAAGCAGCTCAAAAATGCCTGTAACGAAAGCTATTTACTTAAAGAGGGGTAGTGACTTCATATATCTAGAGCACTCTTCACCTTGTTTGGATGCTTCTGCAGTATTAAAGAGTGGAAAAGCCTCTTGTTCCTTATCAAGAAGATTATTATATCTGTAATATAATTGGGAAGAGTAAAAGCTAGCAAACTAGTAAGCAGACAAATCTTACATCAATGTCTGTAACTCCTTGGGTTGGCTGATACAAGACTGCTGATATAACTGTATCAGCAAATCACACGCACATGCCCAAGTAGCTTATACTCCTAGCCCCTCATACCTATAACCAATAGCCAGCAATAAAGAAGGTTTTTTGGTTTGATTTTGGGTTTTTGTTCCTTGTTACTTCAGGGTCCTGTTCTCCCCTTTTAGACTGCAGTCAATATTGAGTCATAACTGATTTAATAGACAACAACATCTATTGATTAAACAACATACTATTAAGTAGCCTGATTATAGATATACTATACACAGTTACCATTAATTTACAATTGTATCATTTTGCACAGTTACAACCAAATATAAAACTAATTCTTGTTCTCAGATCTTATAAATCACACCCAACTATTTTACTATAATTCTGCCACGCTTTCCACCCACACTACTTGGTGCCAGAGTGCAAGCCTGTCCCTCTTTACTCACCCACACTGAGTCTTTCAGGCATGGACCTGATGGAGAGTTGTGTGGGCTGTCCGCAAGGGTTTCCTTCAGTGTCCTGATGGGCTTGGATGCACAGGTAGTTTCAGTGCTATTTGTAGGTGCCTGCACTCAGAAGATCTTTTTTTCTTTTCCTTATTTTGTATCTTCTTTCCCTTTTTTTCTGTTGCAGGACCCATCCTTTTTTTCCTAACTTTACCATCTCCCTTTCTTTACCTTAATGCTTTGCAAGCAAGCAATTCACCCGCCCCATTTGTATCAATTCTGCTACATCTGTCCTCAAATTTGATGTTTCCAACACCTTTACTCAGGCAATGTTGGCCTTATGGGGTATTACTGATACAGTTGCCGAGGCACAGGCAGCCTCCTAAGACTACATCCCAAAACTGCCCTACAATTATCTGGTTCATACTGGCATACTTTTTTTCTTTTTCACACACTTACTAAGGCAAATTATTCTACTTTAGCCTTGATTCTTCTACCTACCTCCAATTAATGCAAGTAGTTTCATATCTGAGGCGCAGCCTACATACCAGAGCAACAAAGCTATGTGTTTTTCATGCTCTGTTTTATGCTCACACAGCATCCTTGCTCTTGAATTGGTTTAATTACTCTCTGGGTTCCCTGCAGAGGTGTAGCTAGTCATGAGGCCCTGTGCTCCAGCGGGGCTTCTCACTCGCGTTTATATGATGGCACCTACACTATGGCTTTTGCCAAAATAGCTACGGGTATGTTGGTTTTCCTATGCTCCTAGCCAAGTAGTTGTGTTTGCAAAACTTTTTCAAACGTAGACCTGGATAGTGCTTCACCTGATCTCAGTAATGGGGCTTCCTCTTAAGTTTCTTTTATTTAAAGATTTTTTTTTGTTTTTTTTTCCCCTCTATTGTGCAAGTCCAGTATAAGGTGAGTCCTAACCAAAGTTTAAGTTCTTTCTTTCAAGTCAAAATCTTTTTTTTCTTGCCTTTGGCATCTTTGTGTGCACCTGTATTGTACAATGAAACATTTCCACAGGGAAAGCTTCACACTAAAATCTTCACTGATTTATCTTCCTTTTTCTTGCAATTCTTTCTGAACAAAAGGTTTCTGCTTCGTATTTCTCAGCATGGATCTCTAGCGAGTGAAAACTGCTCAGCAAATAGATGAGACTTTTTAGAGGAGATATCTTCGCTCTCCATTAAAGTCAACTTTTTCTACTGTGCTTGTAATAGTGTATTTAATATTTTAGTTAAAACCCAAGAATCCCTAGAAATGCAATACATGCTAATGGGCCACCACCACCCCTTTCCAGCTGCACCTGAGAGAAGGTGAGTTTTGTTTTCTGAGATTTCTGCAGTG